CCAACTTTAGATCCAACCATGACAATCGACTTGGGAATGGTCCAGGACGGACCGAAACGTCGTCGTCGTCCCTTCACCTTCTAGTGTGTGGTCTGGTCAATATATACTCTTAACTCTTCCTTTCCTTTATTCATATCTCTTGTCCTTAACATAGACATCGTCTATAATGTATTATTTTTGGACCGCCGTCAAAATAAGTCGTAAAGCCGTCTGAACACGTTAAGAGACGTTGAGAAACGACGTCTCTTAGTGTGTTAACAGCGGATAAGCTTAGAGGGAAAGGTTAAGAGTGTCTTCAAGATTCGCGCTTGACCTCTGATGCCAGTTACCTGCGCTCTGTCCTGCTTAGTGTTCTTCCTCTATATTCTGCGCAGGTCACGGGTCCTGACCTGCGCACGGCTCTCCCAGTGCACTTGGGCACGTGCGTCCGTCTCCCAGTGCACCTGGGCACGTGCGTCCTTCTTCCAGTGCACTTGGGCACGTGCGTCCGTCTCCCAGTGCACTTGGGCACGTGCGTCCGTCTCCCAGTGCACCTGGGCACGTGCGTCCGTCTCCCAGTGCACCTGGGCACGTGCGTCCGTCTCCCAGTGCACCTGGGCACGTGCGTCCGTCTCCCAGTGCACTTGGGCACGTGCGTCCTTCTTCCAGTGCACCTGGACACGTGCGTCCGTCTCCCAGTGCACTTGGGCACGTGCGTCCGTCTCCCAGTGCACCTGGGCACGTGCGTCCGTCTCCCAGTGCACCTGGACACGTGCGTCCGTCTCCCAGTGCACGTGCGCACGTTAGCGCGCGTGAGTAGTGACTACAGACTAATAATCAGTTAGTATTGGCGACAGGCGTGAAGGGCGGTTCAGCCGTGGTTATGATCCGTGGTTATGGTGACCCTGGGGCAATAATGTCCCTCATTACCACCCTCATTATACAAGTTGGAGCGCTGCTTCATATTACCCATCACTCATGTCCTGGGAATTACCTGCAATGTTGCACGGTTGCAAAGGGATCACAGAGGAGAGACTATCGCACTCATTGCCCGGCAATCATTGTAAGTTGTAGAGACATACTGACGGGGGCCGTGATGGTCCTTGGAGTGGGGGGGGGAGAAGTGGGTATGACAACTATTGCAGGTAATGCAGGCCCCTTGCAAGGTAACGAGGGGGGGGGGAGGGGTAACAGGGAAGTACAGGTACCAAGACCAAGGCATGATAAGAAACTTTCTGAACTAAATGTTTAACACATCTCTCACTCTGTCCATGGAGGACAGAAGAAAATGTATATATGCTGGTTAGCATTGTAAATGTGTGGCCACGTCTGTGGTAGAAAATTATAATAATAATAATAATAACTCCCCAATTATGTCTGATGTGGGTTTAGGGAGGTAGGTCAGCTTACCCACACTCACCACACAGTAGGGAGGCAGGTCTACTTACCCATACCCAACACACACAGTAGGGAGGTAGGTCTATTTACTCACACTCAGAGCAAAAGGTAAGTCAATCTATTCACGTTCTCCCATCACAGTAGGGGGTAAACCAACACCCCCCTTCACAGTAGGGGGGAGTATACCAACACCCCCCTTCACAGTAGGGGGGAGTATACCAACACCCCCCTTCACAGTAGGGGGGTATACCAACACCCCCCTTCACAGTAGGGGGAGTATACCAACACCCCCCTTCACAGTAGGGGGAGTATACCAACCCTCCCGCTCACAGTAGAGGGTATACCAACCCTCCCACTTCACAGTAGGGGGTATACCAACCCTCCCACTTCACAGTAGGGGGGAGTATACCAACCCTCCCCCTCACAGTAGGGGGAGTATACCAACGCCCCCCTTCACAGTAAGGGGTATACCCGCACTCCCCCCTCACAGTAGGGGGAGTATACCAACCCTCCCCCTCACAGTAGGGGGTATACCAACCCTCTCCTTCCCAGTAGGGGTATACCCGCACTCCTCCCTCACAGTAGGGGGAGTATACCAACCCTCCCCCTCACAGTAGGGGGTATACCAACCCTCCCCCTCACAGTAGGGGTATACCCGCACTCCCCCCTCACAGTAGGGGGAGTATACCAACCCTCCCCCTCACAGTAGGGGGTATACCAACCCTCCCCCTCACAGTAGGGGGTATACCAACCCTCCCCCTCACAGTAAGGGGTATACCAACCCTCCCCCTCACAGTAGGGGGTATACCAACGCCCCCCTTCACAGTAAGGGGTATACCCGCACTCCTCCCTCACAGTAGGGGGAGTATACCAACCCTCCCCCTCACAGTAGGGGGTATACCAACCCTCCCCCTCACAGTAGGGGTATACCCGCACTCCCCCCTCACAGTAGGGGGAGTATACCAACCCTCCCCCTCACAGTAGGGGGTATACCAACCCTCCCCCTCACAGTAGGGGTATACCCGCACTCCTCCCTCCAGGAAGGCAGTATAAGTCTGACAAATAACTGGCTGGCGCTAAAGTTAGGATGTGAAAACCCAGCGAGTCAGTTATACAAGTTTTAACTTACTTTACAAGAGCTCTAAGTGGAGATCTGCAGACAGATTACACACACTCACACACGTAAGGAATGTATTAAAAACTAAGAAACAATTACGTTCCGCCAACTGCGGTGCGGCGATTGGCCGTGTTAGAGGAGGAAATGATGTGGAAGTCAAGTTATTTTTTCCCATTTTTTCCCCCCCATCTTCTGGCTTCAAGAGGCTTCAGGCTTAACTTCTTCAATTGAGAACTTGCGGTTGAGAAAGTGTGGAGGTGCCGAGTGGCATATATATGATGTGTTCCACATGTGTGGGGTCAGTTGGCACATGTGTGAGGTCAGTCGGCACATGTGTGAAGTCAGTTAGCACATGTGAGAGGTCAAGAGGCAGTCCCATTTGGTCAGTACCAAACCCTTAGATCATACAGTCATTCCCAAACCCTTAGATCATACAGTCATCCCCAAACCCTTAGATCATACAGTCATTCCCAAACCCTTAGATCATACAGTCATTCCCAAACCCTTAGATCATACAGTCATTCCCAAACCCTTAGATCATACAGTCATTCCCAAACCCTTCATACAGTCATCAAACCCTTAGATCATACAGTCATTCCCAAACCCTTAGATCATACAGTCATCCCCAAACCCTTAGATCATACAGTCATCCCCAAACCCTTAGATCATACAGTCATCCCCAAACCCTTAGATCATACAGTCATCCCCAAACCCTTAGATCATACAGTCAGCCTCACATTCACAAAGATTATAGAGAGCATGAGACAGTACAAGAGCCAGTCAGCAGGGGACTGGAAGCGGGCCACAGTACAAGGGGGCCACCAGTGGGCCCGCGAGCAACGGTCAACATCGCTGGGGCCCACATAACCACCGACACAAAAGAGATCAGTGGAAGTGGTCACTATTGAGGGCGTGGTGACCCCCGGCCACTGAAGATGACTATTTGTATTCCATTAATATTAAATCGACGGCCTCTGAGCTATAGGGACAAGCCTCCCTCCTCCCGTGGCTGATGCCGTATGCAATATGAATGCAATATTTCTGCTTGGAGATGATGATCAATACTCGCTTATACTCTAACACGTGTCCTTGTTATTTTAAAGGGAAGGGAGGCAATCACAGGGCGGTGAACGACGGGACACCTCGCGGAGCCTGACTTATGTTATCAGTCAATGTTGATCAACTGAGATCAACTGATGCTGAATCTAGTGAGAAGGAGAGAGAGAGAGAGAGAGAGAGAGAGAGAGAGAGAGAGAGAGAGAGAGAGAGAGAGAGAGAGAGAGAGAGAGAGAGAGAGAGAGAGAGAGAGAGAGAGAGAGAGAGAGAGAGAGAGAGAGAGAGAGAGAGAGAGAGAGAGGACAGGTGGGAGAGGAGAGAGAGGAGAGAGAGAGTGGACAGGTGGGACGGCTGGAATGACTGTGTAGACAGGTAGAGACTGGAATGACTGTGTAGTGGACAGGTGGGTCGGCTGGAATGACTGTGTAGTGGACAGGTGGGACGGCTGGAATGACTGTGTAGTGGACAGGTGGGACGGCTGGAATGACTGTGTAGTGGACAGGTGGGACGGCTGGAATGACTGTGTAGTGGACAGGTGGGACGGCTGGAATGACTGTGTAGTGGACAGGTGGGACGGCTGGAATGACTGTGTAGTGGACAGGTGGGACGGCTGGAATGACTGTGTAGTGGACAGGTGGGACGGTTGGAATGACTGTGTAGTGGACAGGTGGGACGGCTGGAATGACTGTGTAGTGGACAGGTGGGACGGCTGGAATGACTGTGTAGTGGACAGGTGGGACGGCTGGAATGACTGTGTAGTGGACAGGTGGGACGGCTGGAATGACTGTGTAGTGGACAGGTGGGACGGCTGGAATGACTGTGTAGTGGACAGGTGGGACGGCTGGAATGACTGTGTAGTGGACAGGTGGGACGGCTGGAATGAACACGTAAGAGAGACATAAATTGTTTCACTGCGGAACAAAAACTTCGTGAGTGATGACCATGAACCCAACGACCCGCACATGTTGCAAGAGATGAGACACAACCAGCAATGGAACACAACAATTCGTAGAACACAACAATCCATGGAACACAACCAGCCATGGAACACAACCAGCCATGGAACACAACAATCCATGGAACACAACCAGCAATGGAACACAACAATCCATGGAACACAACCAGCCATGGAACACAACAATCCATGGAACACAACAATCCATGGAACACAACAATCCATGGAACACAACAAGCCATGGAACACAACAATCCATGGAACACAACAATCCATGAAACACAACAATCCATGGAACACAACAATCCATGGAACACAACAATCCATGGAACACAACAATCCATGGAACACAACAATCCATGAAACACAACAATCCATGAAACACAACAATCCATGGAACACAACAATCCATGGAACACAACAATCCATGGAACACAACAATCCATGGAACACAACCAGCCATGGAACACAACAATCCATGGAACACAACCAGCCATGGAACACAACCAGCCATGGAACACAACCAGCCATGGAACACAACAATCCATGGAACACAACCAGCCATGGAACACAACCAGGAACACAACCAGCCATGGAACACAACAGCCATCCAACAATGGAACACAACCAGCCATGGAACACAACAATGGAACCAACCAGCCATGGAACACAACCAGCCATGGAACACAACCAGCCATGGAACACAACCAGCCATGGAACACAACCAGGAACCAACCAGCCATGGAACACAACCAGCCATGGAACACAACCAGCCATGGAACACAACCAGCCATGGAACACAACAATCCATGGAACACAACCAGCCATGGAACACAACCAGCCATGGAACACAACAATCCATGGAACACAACCAGCCATGGAACACAACAATCCATGGAACACAACCAGCCATGGAACACAACCAGCACATGGAACACAACAGCATGGAACACAACAATCCATGGAACACAACCAGCCATGGAACCAACAATCCATGGAACACAACCAGCCATGGAACACAACCAGCCATGGAACACAACCAGCCATGGAACACAACCAGCCATGGAACACAACCAGCCATGGAACACAACCAGCCATGGAACACAACCAGCCATGGAACACAACAATCCATGGAACACAACCAGCCATGGAACACAACCAGCCATGGAACACAACAATCCATGGAACACAACAATCCATGGAACACAACAATCCATGGAACACAACAATCCATGGAACACAACAATCCATGGAACACAACCAGCCATGGAACACAACAATCCATGGAACACAACCAGCCATGGAACACAACAATCCATGGAACACAACCAGCCATGGAACACAACAATCCATGGAACACAACCAGCCATGGAACACAACCAGCCATGGAACACAACCAGCCATGGAACACAACAATCCATGGAACACAACCAGCCATGGAACACAACAATCCATGGAACACAACCAGCCATGGAACACAACCAGCCATGGAACACAACCAGCCATGGAACACAACCAGCCATGGAACACAACCAGCCATGGAACACAACCAGCCATGGAACACAACCAGCCATGGAACACAACCAGCCATGGAACACAACCAGCCATGGAACACAACAATCCATGGAACACAACAATCCATGGAACACAACCAGCCATGGAACACAACAATCCATGGAACACAACCAGCCATGGAACACAACAATCCATGGAACACAACCAGCCATGGAACACAACCAGCCATGGAACACAACCAGCCATGGAACACAACAATCCATGGAACACAACCAGCCATGGAACACAACCAGCCATGGAACACAACAATCCATGGAACACAACAATCCATGGAACACAACCAGCCATGGAACACAACAATCCATGGAACACAACCAGCCATGGAACACAACAATCCATGGAACACAACAATCCATGGAACACAACCAGCCATGGAACACAACAATCCATGGAACACAACCAGCCATGGAACACAACAATCCATGGAACACAACCAGCCATGGAACACAACCAGCCATGGAACACAACCAGCCATGGAACACAAGACATAAATATGGCCACAAAATACTCCTGGGAAACTTGTCAACAAATATAAATCCTGAAGTGAAAGAAACTGTTCATTGTTTTGAAAATGTTTTGGAAGTAATCACGACAAAAGTTGTCGTACCTACCACCGTGTTGTGTATTTCAGGCTCTCGGGTGTTGCAGGTATTGAAGTACCAGGTGTTGCAGGTATTGAAGTACCAGGTGTTGCAGGTATTGAAGTACCAGGCAACTTCCGCGCCCAATAATCTATAAAAGCCTGATATGCATTACGTTTAAAAAAGAAACTAGGCTTTGAATCAGAAGATGGATGTTGTTTAGCGAGACGCGATCATTCAAGCCTTGTTTTGGGATGGTTGAGGTGTATTGTGAGGAGTTAAGTCATTAACTCAGGGTGGGGGAGGACAGGTCTCCTTCTCGGGAAAGTGTCATCGGTAGATAATAGGACTAAATAAATTATATTACACTCACACTCACACATACACACACATAACCCACATACACACATAACCCACATACACCCACATAACCCACATACACACACACACACACACACACACATACACACACACACCCACACACACACACACACACACACACATACACACCCACACCCACATAACAGAACCATATGCAAGTATTTTTATGACCAGAATGTGTTAAATCTAAATCGTGATATTATGGCTGATGTGGCCTCGTGTGTCGAGGACTTACTCACTCGACCATCACACTGAAGACCTCACTACATTGTCATCCTTTGGACTATTTTAAAACTCTCACACTCTCTCTCTCTCCCTCTCTCTCTCTCTCTCTCTCTCTCTCTCTCTCTCTCTCTCTCTCTCTCTCTCTCTCTCTCTCTCTCTGTCTCTCTCTCTCTCTCTCTCTCTCTCTCTCTCTGTCTCTCTCTCTCTCTCTCTCTCTCTCTCTCTCTCTCTCTCTCTCTCTCTCTCTCTCTCTCTCTCTCTCTCTCTCTCTCTCTCTCTCTCTCTCTCTCTCTCTCTCTCTCTCTCTCTCTCTCTCTCTCTCTCTCTCTCTCTCTCTCTCTCTCTCTCTCTCTCTCTCTGTCTCTCTCTCTCTCTCTCTCTCTCTCTCTCTCTCTCTCTCTCTCTCTCTCTCTCTCTCTCTCTCTCTCTCTCTCTCTCTCTCTCTCTCTCTCTCTCTCTCTCTCTCACTCTCTCTCTCATGGGTACTGGTGGGTTTGGAGGGATTACTTTTGAAGTTCATCAAAGCTAGAGATAGAAGAATGCCTGGGGGGGGGGGAGGGGGGAGGGGGAAGGATCCTCAAATGTTAATTAAACGGGGATTTAGCTGTGTCTAACTCAGACCTCGTGAGTCCAGCTCCAAGTACCGGCTTTAATTGTTTTTATTTTTATTTCCAGTTTTGCTACAGACAGAGATCATAGAGAAGGATTGTCGTAGAATGCCGAAGATCAAGACTTTCTTCAGGGATGGATGGAAAGCTGGCTACTAGACTTAAGCCTGATCGGTGTAAAGTTGTGAGGATCGAAATCGTAACGAGTAGACCTGGGGACAAAGTAGGAAAAAGGGAAGAATACGTCCTGAAATGGAGAATGGGAAATGATCTAATGGTGGGTATATTCCCCCCAATGTGACGCCATAAGCACCTATTTTCAGAATAAAATTAGCAGCGTTAGGGAAAAACTTAGGTGTTGATGAGGTGTTGACCAGCGACCTAGGGAAGGAAACCTGTCAGCCACTGGACATACATTCCCTGACACTAACACTTCAGTATACATCTGCAGCCTGGAAACGGCGCCTGAAAGCAAAACAAAAATAAGAAAATAAGGCGACAAGTCTTCTTGCGGAACTAAGCGGAGAACTGTGAGAGGGACAGGATGAACAACCCAGCGGGTTTTCTTCCTATTGGGGAGTGTTGTACATTCTGCTATGGCGGTGTGTCCACTCACAAGATGAGTGGCGCTGCCCAATAAACTCCCCACAAGATGAGTGGCGCTCGGGCGCAAAATTTAAAATTGGCGGTGTGTCCAAAGGATGAGTGTGAGAGGCTGAGAGGGGAACTGAATTCCACAACACTGGATGAAAGAAAGAAAGAAGAGAAGGAATATCATAACAACGAACCAAACACTAAAGGCAGGTGATAAAGTAAGGAAATAGGGTATAGCAACCCTGGTTGATACCTGGTTGATGGGGTTCTGGGAGTTGTTCTACTCCCCAAGCCCGGCCCGAGGCCAGGCGCGACTTGTGAGAGTTTGGTCCACCAGGCTGTTGCTTGGAGCGGCCCGCAGGCCCACATATACCTGGTTGATGGGGTTCTGGGAGTTGTTCAACTCCCCAAGCCCGGCCCGAGGCCAGGCTTGACTTGTGAGAGTTTGGTCCACCAGGCTGTTGCTTGGAGCGGCCCGCAGGCCCACATATACCTGGTTGATGGGGTTCTGGGAGTTGTTCTACTCCCCAAGCCCGGCCCGAGGCCAGGCTTGACTTGTGAGAGTTTGGTCCACCAGGCTGTTGCTTGGAGCGGCCCGCAGGCCCACATACCCACCACAGCCCGGTTGGTCCGGCACTCCTTGAAGGAAACAATCTAGTTTCCTCTTGAAGACGTCCACGGTTGTTCCTGTAATAAAAAAACCCTGGAAACACAAACCGAAACTGTCTCTATTTTCCGCTTGTTACAACTTGTAATCAAGTTGTTACACCTTGGCTTAACGTGTTTATGACGTATTAGAACGTTGTTACAACTTGCTATATTTTAACACCTCCTAACTGGTTAGGAGGTGTTAAAACTTGTTCGAACGTTGTACCAACGTCGTAGTTTCGGTGTGTGTGTTTGGCGGAAACTAACCACCGGATCATTTCTGTCACCCACCACTGTACCACTGAGAGACATTCGCCCACTAGACCACTGCCACCAACCACCCAACCCCCCGGAACGTTTTCAGAATTATTTTTGCTGGGCCCGCTATCGCTGGGCCATTACCGGGCAGTGAAGCACTATTTTTTGTGTAATTTAATTCTGGCGAAGCTATCCATCAGGAGGACTGTATTGCTGGCGGAATTGAAAACATTTTGGGTCATTCTGGGATACACTTACGTGGTACGAGGTAAGAAATGTTCAGATTAACATTTATTGAATTTTTGAGTGTGTTCCGATAGGCTGGTAATCCAAATATTTTGTACAGTGAGTTCTGAATATGGAATATATTATACAAGTCAGATCAGCTGGGTCTGGAGACGACCTTACCTCTGGCCAGAGAAGTAGATAGTAGAAAGCGAACAGGGTAGATAAGGAGGAGGGGTGTGTAGAAAGGTGTACTTACATTATCTTTAACCTCCAAGTGTTGATACACTCTGATATACACAGTATCACTTAACATTATAACACCGACGACCCATCGCCATGATCACCCGTCCTCCCACTTGACACAATAATGAGATGTTCGGAGCTGCGTCCAGACTGGAGATGGTGGGATGATGCTTCATGCAGACTAATGCCTCCCAGATGTAAGATTCAGCCCTAAGATGGAGGTCTGTAGCCCGGGAGGAGAGGTGGGGGATTTGATTTGATTGTGTGAGATTAGATCCGAGATGGTAGATTTCTCTCTTCAGAGTATGATAATGGGGAAATTGGAGCAGTTAGAGTTGAGGATAGAGTGGCGAGGTATTGCACCGTCTGTTCCCATCCACTCAGACTGGTCGATACTACAACGGCCTCGCTGCTTGCCAGGTCGGCGTTCGATTCCCGATGATCCAAGTGGGGTCCTCATATCTCAGCCCCTTGTCCTCATATCCCAGCTCCTTGTCCTCATATCTCAGCTCCTTGTCCTCATATCTCAGCTCCTTGTCCTCATATCTCAGCTCCTTGTCCTCATATCTCAGCTCCTTGTCCTCATATCTCAGCTCCTTGTCCTCATATCTCAGCTCCTTGTCCTCATATCCCAGCTCCTTGTCCTCATATCTCAGCTCCTTGTCCTCATATCCCAGCTCCTTGTCCTCATATCCCAGCTCCTTGTCCTCATATCCCAGCTCCTTGTCCTCATATCCCAGCTCCTTGTCCTCATATCTCAGCTCCTTGTCCTCATATCTCAGCTCCTTGTCCTCATATCTCAGCTCCTTGTCCTCATATCCCAGCTCCTTGTCCTCATATCCCAGCTCCTTGTCCTCATATCCCAGCTCCTTGTCCTCATATCCCAGCTCCTTGTCCTCATATCTCAGCTCCTTGTCCTCATATCTCAGCTCCTTGTCCTCATATCCCAGCTCCTTGTCCTCATATCTCAGCTCCTTGTCCTCATATCTCAGCTCCTTGTCCTCATATCCCAGCTCCTTGTCCTCATATCCCAGCTCCTTGTCCTCATATCCCAGCTCCTTGTCCTCATATCTCAGCTCCTTGTCCTCATATCTCAGCTCCTTGTCCTCATATCTCAGCTCCTTGTCCTCATATCCCAGCTCCTTGTCCTCATATCCCAGCTCCTTGTCCTCATATCCCAGCTCCTTGTCCTCATATCCCAGCTCCTTGTCCTCATATCCCAGCTCCTTGTCCTCATATCTCAGCTCCTTGTCCTCATATCTCAGCTCCTTGTCCTCATATCTCAGCTCCTTGTCCTCATATCCCAGCTCCTTGTCCTCATATCTCAGCTCCTTGTCCTCATATCTCAGCTCCTTGTCCTCATATCCCAGCTCCTTGTCCTCATATCCCAGCTCCTTGTCCTCATATCTCAGCTCCTTGTCCTCATATCCCAGCTCCTTGTCCTCATATCTCAGCTCCTTGTCCTCATATCCCAGCTCCTTGTCCTCATATCCCAGCTCCTTGTCCTCATATCTCAGCTCCTTGTCCTCATATCTCAGCTCCTTGTCCTCATATCTCAGCTCCTTGTCCTCATATCTCAGCTCCTTGTCCTCATATCTCAGCTCCTTGTCCTCATATCTCAGCCCCTTGTCCTCATATCTCAGCCCCTTGTCCTCATATCTCAGCTCCTTGTCCTCATATCTCAGCTCCTTGTCCTCATATCTCAGCTCCTTGTCCTCATATCTCAGCCCCTTGTCCTCATATCTCAGCTCCTTGTCCTCATATCTCAGCTCCTTGTCCTCATATCTCAGCTCCTTGTCCTCATATCCCAGCTCCTTGTCCTCATATCTCAGCTCTTGTCCTCATATCTCAGCTCCTTGTCCTCATATCTCAGCTCCTGGTCCTCATATCTCAGCTTCTTGTCCTCATATCCCAGCTCCTTGTCCTCATATCTCAGCTCCTGGTCCTCATATCTCAGCTTCTTGTCCTCATA